CGAGAGACAGAGAGGGAGAGAGAGAGAGAGTGAGAGAGAGAGAAAGGGAAAGTGAGAAAGCAAGCCACCAGGTCCAGGACTTGAACCATGGTTGGCCATGTGCGAATCCAGCACTCTTATCCACCACACCACCTGCTGGTCCCTATGATTAGTTTTAATAACTCCATATTCTTTCATTTGGTGCATGTTCAGTGGCTATATTTTAAATAATGAGGACCTGAAATACTTTTGACATTTGTAAAAGCTACTGAAGCTACTGACATTGGGGCACGTTTAAATTAATGGAAGTTGGCCACTAGCAGGGTTTGAGGGAAAAGGGAGTAGAAGAGTCAGGATTAGCCCAACATCTGGCTACACAGGAAATGCTCAGAAATATAAATGCCTGAATGTGTGAATGAATTCATAGGTTTTATGTCTGGAGACTTAATATTCATTTGGGATAGAGCAGGAATAATCATGTTTACCGTTATATAGATTATTTGTTGTCCTTTGTCCTTACCTTTCCTATCTACTTACATTGCAAACATCTCTGATAGTTTACGGTACTTTTCTGTCTGAGCTTTAAGAATATAATTATGAAAGATTACTTTTAAAGTTCAGATTCACAAAATATCTTTGAGGGAACACTGAAAGACCTTTATTTCTAGGAGTAATCTTAGAAGCTACTGAAAATTAGTCTTTTCTAGGAGTACTCTCACATAATTTTTAAAAACGATTTATTTACTTTTATTAATTTTTACTGTTTTTAATTTGCTGTAGGACACATGTGCTCACCAGAGAGAGAAAGAAAGAGAGAAAGTGAGAAAGCAAACCACTAGGCCCCGGACTCAAACTATGGTCAGCCACATGCGAGTCCAACACCTTAAACCCATACCACCTGCTGGCTCCACTGACAGTTTTATAAGTTTAAAGACAGACTTCAGAACAACTCTCTAGTCACAGCTGAAAAATTAAAGTTTATTTATTTATTCTGATGACTGTGTGAGAGAGAGACAGAGAGCATGTGTAGCACCCAGGACAGAGTTTTGTGTTATACCAGGCTCTGTAATGTCAGATTGTATCATATATAAAGTTATCTGAAGAATCTGGTAATGGGAACCAGCAGTTAGCGTAATGGCTATGTCGCTGGACTCCCACGTAGTCGACTGCGGTTCGCGTCCTGGACCCGGTGGCTTAAAACTCACGCCGGGCGCGTGTGCGTGCGTGCCCAAGATCCCGAGAGGAGAATGGAGGAGAAGGGATTGCGGCGTGACCATCCCCCCTGGGGGTTGATTTCTTGCTTTCTGTCTCTAATGTCTCTCTCTGTCTGTCTGGCGAATGCACGCGCCCTATAGTGAAAAAAATCTCTCCAAAAAAAAAGAATCTGGTAATAAAATATTCTTTACCTCTCCCCAAAAGGTAAGTATTTATTGAGCAGTTGGTACATTGCTTGAGAAATTTTATTTAATAGAGTTTTTTTTATATTAGGGCAATATAGCTTTAATATTTTGCCTTTTGGGGAAAAACACAATAGTTTGAAGGAATCTGTTTACTTGCTGGCAAAGATTATAACCAGTAATTAACCAAACAAAAGATATTTGTCTTTTCCAGAAGGGGAAAATCTGAATATGATCTTACAGCTGAAAATATCTTGAATTTATTGTGAAAAGACTGAGGTTTACATTTTCAAAATTTATGCTGGAAAAGGTTTAAGTATTTGAATGAATAGAAAGGAGAAAGTAAGTTCGTGGTTGGGTAGGGATGTGCTATAGACAGATTTGTTTTCACAAACATTAAATTTTGATTGTTGCTAATAAACATAAGAAAGATACATAAAAATTGTTTTGTAATCACTTAATGACAGTAGCGAGTCAGGCCAATTAGTTATTACTTTCAGGAAACATCTTATAGCAAGGATTAATTTCATCTTGTTATATTTAGCAGAAACATAGAAACAAGTTGTGTATGTTAAAGGGTTTTAGGGCCTAGAGAGTTTTACTATAGCTGTGAAATTTGACCTTTAACATTGTTGGCCATCATAACAATCAAGCACAATCTGTATGTGCCAAGGGAAGGCATCTGGCTGTGAACAGGAAATCTTTAGTTGAAATATTAAAAGCAGATCGAATTCCTTTTGTTTTGGACTTAAAACAATTTAGTTCTGTGCAGTTTTAAATATCAGACTTTTTAAAAAGTTTTAATATAGAAATCAACTTATATAAATTAAAATATTACGTATTCAGGCTTTACAAAAAAATCAGATTCATATTTATTCCAATAAATAGATAAATATTTAGTAAATGAGAATCATCTTTTGATTATCTTTATAGACACACCTTTATCTTAATTATTTTGGAGAGATTGGTTTGTTTGTTTGTTTTTTGCTATAGGGCATGTGCGCTTGCCAGAGAGACAGAGATAGAAAGTGAGAAATCACCCGCCAGGGATGATGGCCATGCTGCAGTCCCTTCTCCTCCAGTCTCCTCTTGGGATCTTGGGAACTTATGCACACGCACCTGGTGTGAGTTTAAGCCAACAGGTCCGGGACTCGAACCACAGTCGACTACATGGGAGTCCAGTGACATAGCCATTACGCTAACTGCTGGTCTCTTAATTATTTTGCAGAGAAAGAACAGTTGTTTCAATACTAAGATCTCTTATCAACATCTTGATTATAACATGCGCTATAATGCTTAGCATCTGTTATTGTGAATTTTGTTGAACTTCACTGGCGTTCCAGATTCCAGTTCAGTCTTTATTGCCACTACAAAATTTGGAAACTAGAAATTTTGAGGTCTCATAGATAGTTGTATGAAATTAAGTTCTTTGGAGGCATGAATATTAAAGTTTAGAAGAGAGCATAACATTGTACTTTACCTATGTCTTTGGTACATTATATATTTCGTTTATGAATGTTTTACTTTATTTTGTATTAATGGAAGGTGTTTGTGCAGTTAATTCCCGCAAATGGAAGCTGTTTTGAGGATTATTTATAAATGCTACTTATTCTTTACTAGGACTAATTAAACTTGTGGAAAACTAGCTTTTTTTCTTTATAACTCAGAAACTGAAGTTCTCCTTTTCTGTACCAATTTACTTCAAAATAGTAGCTTGCTGTTTTTTTTAATTAATGACGATCATATTTGTCATATTAGGTTGTTCTTTTGTTGCTAAGATTACATGGTTAGTAGTAAGTTTGTCATTTGGCCTTATATCATCCATGGCCATTGGTAAAAGAACTTACTTATTAAACCTTTGTTTCTTTCTCTTTTTTTTTGGAGAGGTTTTTGCTATAGGGCACATGCGCTTGCCAGAAAGACAGAGACAGAAAGCGAGAAATCACCCCCTGGGGGGTGGATGGACACACCGCAGTTCCTTTTCCTCCATTCTCCTCTCAGGATCTTGGGCACAAACGCACATGCGCCCGGCGTGAGTTTAAGCCACCGGGTCCAGGACTCAAACTGTGGTCGACTACATGGGAGTTCAGCAACATAGCCATTATGCTAACTGCTGGTCCCAAACCTTTGTTTATTTCAAAATTGATAATGTTAATATTACCTCATAGAGAAGTTTGGTGTGTGAAATAAAATATATTTCACAGGGCCAGGGAAGTATTTAAATTCATAACTATTAGTGCTTGTGCCCTTTAAAGAGTGTTATGTGCTCTTCCTTGCTTTTTCTAGATTTGTCATATTTGATTATTTAAGTTTTAGCTTTATGGTGGAATTTAGAGTAGAGGTATGATATGCTAGAGCTTGACATCTGCTAGGCTTCTACTACTAATAATGTTTTATGATTTAGATCAGTGGTTTCCAACTTCTTTGTGTTGTACATTCATTTTATCAGGTTTTATAAAATTATTCCTAATAATATCAGGTCATCGGAAAAGTCACGATGTATTTTTCTGTGTTTTTCTATGCAAAAATGAATCATGACTTTTCAGATGACCCAATTGTTTAGGAAAAATTTAGTGCATATGGCTCTTTAAAAAAGTACAGGTGGGGGTGGGCTAGCCCCGTGGTGCAGTGGTTAAGCACTGTGTATTGGGAGCCATATCCCACATAGCCAACTGTGATTTGAATCCCGGACCTGGTGGCTTGAAAACATACTGGATATGTGTGTATGTGCACATGGACCCAAAATCATCATGGAAGGTTTAGATGGAGGCACAGAGAGTGCAGTGTGGCTGTGGCCCACTGGGGAGAATGGTTCTTCCTTCCTCTTTCTCTCTTTTTCTCTCTTTCTGTCTCTCTCTGAGAAGAGTGCATGTATGTTAAAACCAAAAAAAAAGTAAGTTCAGGTGGGATGTGTCTTGAAATTATTTGTAGATATCTTTGAAAGAGTTAAGAATCATGATTGTGATACATGGCATTTGTAAAGCTGATGAGCCTATTTGGAACTTTGGAGACTTCGTGATTCCTTTATCAAATTGTCAAGGTTTAAAAAGGAGGCTTTTTACAGAAAGATCTTTGCTCTTTCTCTAAATGTGAATTTCAGATTTATCATAGTTCAAATATGGTTTTGGGACCTAATATTATTTGAATAATATTAAGTAGATTTTGGCAAGTTCAGTATATAGAAATCTGGATTTTAGGGGCTAGCAGGTGGCATGGTGGTTAAAGGTACTGGACCCCCACATGGCTGGCTGTAGGTCGAGTCCTGGAGCTAGTGACTTGCTTTCTCAATCTCTCTCTCTCTCTCTCTCTCTGGCCAGATGTGTGTGTGTGTCTGTGTGTATGTATAAATAAATAAATTTAAATAAATAATTCTTTTTTAAAAGTCCGGATTTTATAAATGAAAGAATGAAATTGTCACAATCTTAATCTTTAAGTCTGTATAGTTTTTTTTTTCTTTTGAGAGGTTTTTGCTGTAGGGTGCATGCACTCACCAAAAAGACAGAGAGAGAGAGAGAGACAGAAAGCGAGAAATCACCCCCAGGGGGGATGACCACGCCACAATCCCTTCTCCTCCATTCTCCCCTCGGGATCTTGGGCATGCACGCACATGCGCCCGGCGTGAGTTTAAGCCACCGGGTCCGAGACTCGAACCACAGTCGACTACATGGGAGTCTAGCGACATAGCCATTACACTAAATGCTGGTCCCAATTCTGTATAGTTTTTAATTACAATAATAGCTTTTGTTTTTAATAATGATATAGTTAGAAATCTATTTATAGTAGGTGTTTTCAGAGGGACATCTGTCTAGTCAAAATGTTATCCTTCAACTTTATTCTTTATTTTAACAATTGTTTTGGTTACTCTAGTTCTTTTACCTTTCAATATACAGTTTAAAGTCTGCTTGTCTAATATCTATGTCTACAAAAACTCTGCTGAGATTTTGATTGGAATTACTTTAAACAGAAAGATCATTGAGGAGGATTGCCATCTTAACTATGTTGAGTTTTCTAATCCATTAATGTGGTAGGTGGTTTTCCTTTCTTTCATCAGTGCTTCATAGTTTTCAGTGTACAGATCCTGTATGTGTTTTGTCAGATTTATATTTATTTATATATATTTGGTGGTTTGGAACTTTTATAAATGGTGTTATTTCAGTAACTTTTGTTGCCAAGTGTTTATTGTCAGTGTTTTGATATTCACTTGACTTTTGTATGTTGGATTTATACTCTATTACCTTAAGCTTATTTAATACTTCTAGAGTGCAGCCAGATCATTTCAATTTGCCAGAGGGCGTGTGCACTCCCTTGGGGTAGAGAAAGAGGGAAGGAGGAAGGGAGAGGGAAAGTAAAAAGCACTGCCTCTCCCCGATGAGGCATGGTAAGGCCATATTCTCTTCTCCCCCATCTCCCTCCTTTTTGGAGTTTGGGCACAGGCACGTTCCTAGCATGTTTCTCAAGCTGCTGGATCTAAGACGTGAATTGCATGGTTGGTTGACCAGGTAGGATTCAGCTGCCTCAACCACCATGCCACAAGCTGGCCTACCTAAATTATTTTTAAGACATTGTACACTAGGAATGGTTTTACAATTTCATTTTTACATTTTTTAAAGATGAATTCTTAAATTTTAAATCTCGAATGAGGTGCAGTTTTATTTTCTTGTATTAGTATACATACTTAAGAACTAGGTAAATGTTTATATAGTCTAATGAGGGAAGCAGGAACAACTACAGCAACAAAAGAAAGACTCTAATTTCAGAGTTTAGTTCCTCCCTCTTTTTTGTAGTTTAATAATGATAATACTGACTAATTTTATGAAAAACTTTATAACTACAAAATCATGATTTTTTTTTTTTTACATTTTCTTACCTTTTATTTGAAAATAATTTAAACTTATAGCAAATTCTAAGAATAATACAGGAACATTAAAATATTCTTTAACATTTACTTGGCTATTTGGGTTTTTGTTTTTGTTTTTGTTTTGTTTTTTTCTGTTTTCAGTTCTTTATTCTGACCTTTTCCAGAATATCATATAAACAGAATAACAGAGGAGATAGCCTTTTGAATCTGATTTTCTCACTTATTAGAAAGCACTTGAGATTTATCTATAAAGTAGTCCATTCTTTTGTTTTATTATTAAGCAGTGTTAACATCAGATGTATCAAAATCATGAATTTTAACTGAACAGTGTAATCAAGTTAGTTCATTATGTGTTTCTCAACTAGCATATTTTTTAGCTGTGAATAATTGTTCTGCTTTTCCCTTTTTTCCCCTCAGGTATTGGGAGAGTTGCTGCTACATCTTTAGGAAATTTAACTAACCATGGTTCTGAAGATTTACCCCTTCCTCCTGGCTGGTCTGTGGACTGGACCATGAGAGGGAGGAAATATTATATAGATCACAACACAAATACAACCCACTGGAGCCATCCTCTTGAGCGAGAAGGACTTCCTCCTGGATGGGAGCGAGTTGAGTCATCAGAATTTGGCACCTATTATGTAGATCACACAAATAAGAAGGCTCAATACAGACATCCCTGTGCTCCTAGGTAGAGTATCAACTTTATTTTCAGTGTTTTGTTTTGAGATTGTCTAATGTTAGGTTTTGAACACATATTTTCATCAAAGAGAAGGACATCTGAAATTTGAGATTTAAAAGCTTTCTTTTCCAACTTAATACATTTTTCTCTGGACTTCAGTAATGCATGACATAAGTAATTTTTTTTCCATGTTTTTTATCATAAGGTGCATGCACTCACCAGAGAGAAAGAGAGGGAGTGAGAGGAAAAGTGAGAAATCACCTCTGGGGGGATGGTCACCACCCCACAGTGTCTTCTTCCATTCTCTTCCTGGGATTTTGCACTCGCACACATATGCGCCTGGCTTGAATTTCAAGCTGTCAGGTCAGGGACTCCAACCATGGTTGGCCATGTGTAAATCTGTTGCCTTAGCTACCACTCCACCTTCTGGCCCCCAAATTTAGTTTTAATATTCTAGAATATTTTTTTATAGATTCCCAGAAATTGGCATAAATAAATAAAACATCAGTTTCTTCACATTTAAATTTCTATAAATGATAAAAAAAACTACCTCCTAATAAGTCAAAGTATAGTTTTGAGTTACAAATTTTGATGTTTTTACTCAATTTCAGACATGATTTTATGTTCTATTCTTACTGTTATGAGACAAGATAAAAGTTGGGACTGGACAAAACATCCTGGATCTGCTTAATAAATATAGCCAGTGATTCTCTGGGCTATTTTGATTGAAACCGGGCTTATCAGTAGATCTGGTTTGTTGCCAGACTTTTAGCTGTATGTGGTCTAATACCGTAGCCAGTTATCTGTAGTCCTTGAGCATTGACATGTGAGTGATACACGTTTTGAGGTATGTTGTAAGTTGGAGCTTCAAGAACTGAGCTATAAGATTAAAAATAGGTTTGACCCAGTTGTGGCTGTTTGCACTAGATGCTGCTGCTTGGCAGGCTGAAGCCACACAGGAGGCTCAGGTTAATTCTCAGTCCAAGTGCAGTGGCACATGCCTGTAATCCCAGCTACCGAGGAGGCTGAGGCAGGAAGATTATAAACTTGTGGCCCGTGGTGGCAGCATAGTCAGACCTCATCTAAAGGAGCTGAACATGGGGTTCATGCTCATGGTCTTTCTGGCTGGGAGGCTGAGGCAGGAGAACTGGGATACAGCTCAAACACCACACACACTGCAAAGAAAAAGACTAACAGTGCATAACATATCAGATGTTGTGCAGTATCATCATTATAATTCAGATTTTTAATTATAGTGGACATTTGTATTTTTTTGGAACCATTGTAATCCTCGTTACTGTGTTGCTTTAATTATTTTATACATTTGGGTTAATTAATTCAGACTCTGAAAAAAATCACTTTTTTCCAATGATTTTATTTAGTAGCACCCATTATTTATTGAACTATGGAGATTGTCCTCTTTTGAGAAGAACCAGATAACCAAATTTGAGGGTTTACTTTTCTCTTACTCATCATTAACTTTATTATAGAATTTTATAGTTTACAAAGCACTTTCATAATTACGTTGATTCTTTCAGTAATGCTGTAGAGGTTAAATAGGAGAAAATAAAATATTGTCCTTAAGCTCACCTGGGTAGTATTACTGGCTAATCAGTTGTTTATATTATGCCAATCATATACAAGACTATGGACAAAAACTAGCTTGTTTAATTCTGTCAACAACTCTATGTGGTGTGTATTACTATTCCACTTTTACACATAAGGAGTTTGATGCCTAGAGAAGTGAAGCAGTTTTGCCTATCTTTTATTTTTAAGAATTATTTTATTTTACTTATTCATTTATTTATTTTTTTATTTAACCAGAGAAAGACAGACAGACAGAAGGAAAGTGAGAAAGCAAGCCACTTTGTCCGGGACTCGAACCATGGTCAGCCATGTGGGAGTGTCCAGCGCCTTAACCACCATGCTACCTGCTGGCCCCAGCCTATCTTTGTACACTGCGTTAGTGCCAACTCAGGCTAAAACCCAGGCATATCTGACCTCCAAGCCTCAGGTCTTCCCCATCTCCCAACTGTGCTATCAAGGAATATTCTTCCTTTTGGACCTTCTTACAAAGAATAGTCGAAGATAAGATTCAGTGCCGTTTACACATTGGTCTTTAAATTGCTAATCACAGTATAATCCAGTCCTCATTTTAATGCCAGTTTAATAAGGGGCAGCTTTTTCTGATATGCACGTATATCTTTCTGTTTGGAGGCAGACTCCTCCTGGTGTCATCTCTGATATATCCCAGTATTACGTCTTTAAGCTCCTAGTGGCTTACTGCTTTCATCAGCACATCCCCAATTAACTCACTCTTCTCCCTCCCTGCAGCATACACAGTTTGTTAGAATTAACATGAACTTATATCAGATCTTAAGTCTCTATGATTTAAAATGGTTCTATTCAACCAAGACTCCCATCTGTTCTCTTAAGGTATAAAAAATAGATAAAGATAACATTTAATGTGGATATTTCAAGTCCATCCTTGTTGGACTTTGTATCTTGGCCCCTCCCCCCCTTTTGAGTTTATAGGAGGAAGAAAACATCTGTTCTCATTTTGAGGGAAACCATCAACCTTTCCAATATGAATTTACAGCTAATTACTATACAGTTATTATGAAAACGTATGATTCTAGTTTTAAGCCTCTTTGTAGACATTACAACTTAGCTCGAACTTTTTTATAATCTTCTATGAAAAGAATAAATACCAGCTAAAATAAATCTCTTAAAAATATGTAAAGTTTGGGACCAGCAGTTAGTGTAATGGCTATGTTGCTGAACTCCCATGTAGTCGACCGCAGTTCGAATCCCGGACCCGGTGGCTTGAACTCACGCCAGGCGCACGTGCACATGTGTGTGCATGCGCGCCCAAGATCCCGAGAGGAGAATGGAGGAGAAGGGATTGCAGTGTGGCCATCCCCCCCAGGGGGGTGATTTCTCACTTTCTATGTCTCTGTCTCTGTCTTTCTGGTGAGCGCACGTGCCCTATAGCAAAAACTTCTCAAAAAAAAAAAAATATATATATATATAGTAAAGTATGAGACCATATAATGGTTATATTGCTGGACTCCCACGTAGTTGACCATGGTTTGAGTCCTGGACCTGGCGGCTGAAAACTCACATTGAGCATGTGTGCATGCATGCCCAAAATCCTGAGAGGAGAATGGAGGAGAGAAGGGATTGTGCTGTGGCCATCCTCTCTGGGGGGTGATTTCTTTGTTTTTCTGTCTCTAGTGAGCATACACACCCTATAGCAAAAATATTTCTTTAAAAAAATGGTTAGGGTGGCACACAGGTAGCATCACTGCTTGGGATGCTAGAAGCTACAGGAGAGGCACAGACTGAGTCCCCAGGGCAAGCTGAACACGCAGACTGTGTGCTCTCATGGTCCTGGCTAATTGGGAGGCGGGGGCAGAAAGATCACTGCACAGAGATGCTGTCAGGGATGCCTGTCTCTGCCTCTCTTGCTCTTCCTCTTTTCTCCCCGGCTTTCTCAAAGGAGAACCCCCACACACAAAGATTTACCTTGGGTTTATATCCATCACATGCAGGCGTACCAATTCCCAAGAGAAAGCGTTTTATTTCTCAATAGTAGAGTAAAGAAAACTAGACTTTTATTATAGGAAGTTATCTTTTAGGTGATGAAAGGAGGTCAGTGTTGGCAGGAAGCATGTTGAAAGATGCTTAAATATTTGTTCTTTCTAATTTCTTTTTAGATTTAGGACCTTTATCCTAATGAATACCAATTCTTCTTCTTAGTGTGCCTCGTTATGACCAACCACCTCCTGTCACATACCAGCCACAGCAAACGGAAAGAAATCAGTCCCTTCTGGTACCTGCAAATCCATATCATACTGCAGAAATTCCCGACTGGCTTCAGGTTTATGCTCGAGCCCCTGTGAAGTAAGTGAACCTAACAGTACAAATTTTGTTTGAGGGGAAAGTAGAGAGTGAGTGGAGTTTCTGGGCTGCTTAACCCAAGTAGCACTATGTTTTTCTCTTAATAATATGGGCTTCTAAGTAATATTTTGCTAGAAGAAATGATATCACAGCTTAGAGTTCAGAAATCATTTATGAGAATTATTCTGCAAACATTTATTGAATTTTCCCTTCTCTGTGTGCAGACCTCTGTTATTAAGAATACAGTAGGAAGCCTACATTCTATGAGGCCAGCATTTGGGGTAGTAGTTAAGGTGCTGGATTCCTCCATGGCTGACCACAGTTTGAGTCCTGGACCCAGTGTCTTGAAAATCACACCAGGAACTTGCGTGTGCATCCCCAAAATCCTTTTTTAAAAAAAAGCAGTAGCTTACATTCTCATAGGGGAAAATTAACTTGTAAATACATGAAACAGTATTTGTAGTAGGTAAGTCCTAGATTCCTAGGTGAAACAAATTAGGACGCAAGGGTATTGAGGGTATGTTGAAGAAGTATACTTGTATAGCATAGTGGCTGTGAGTTCTAGGGTGAAAAATAAGAGTTCACTCACACTTTTTAATTTTAACCGTGGGCTGGGTATTTAACTTAGTTTGTCTTCTGCAAATTGGGGATAATAATAATACCTCTTCATAAGAATATTAAGAATTCAATGGGAAATTGAAATTAAAGAAGGGAAACTGAGTGTGATTTCTGGCTGTGTCACCTACTTCCTGAAGGGCATTGGACAAGTTACAGAACTTTTATCCAGGTATTTTTCCTCTACTAAAACACAGGAATGATAATCTACTTTACTCCACGTGGTGTAGCTTTTAGAAAGCATGTGGTACAGTGACTGCCTTGCATAAGCCCTTGTGATGGTTTCTTACTGTGAATGGAGCAAGAAAAGCTGTGCTCAAGAGGAAAACTGCGTGGTCTGTGTTTTTAAAGATGGCTATGAGTTTGCCAAGGTCGTTGAGGGTAATTATAGGAACCTGTTGTGAGGTAGGGTACACACTGTTCTTAAAATTTAGTTATGAATAAATTAAATTTTTGCTTCAAAGGGCTTCATTCTTCAGGAAGAACAGAAGTACATATTCAAATTATATTAAGAGCACACAACTATTAAGTGGTAGCTTATGAACCTTGATTTCAAAAGACCATGCTCTTAACTTTTGTCAGTGCTACTTTCCTATTTAATAATCATCATTTACTGAGCAGTATTTAAATTATTGGTACATTGCTAAACATTTTACACATAATTGCATATATTTATAACAAATATATATATATATATATAAATATTCAGTTAATGTTTTTTATAGCCTTTTTATATGCCTTCTGTAATTTCAGAAACCAAAACAGCCGAAAGAAGAGATTTAGAGAGTTTAAGGTGATTAAATACTGAATTTGGAATAAACTAAGTCTTAGCTATTGAAATATGAATATAACATCTTTTTTTTTTTTTTTTTTGAGAGTTTTTTTGCTATAGGGCATGTGTGCTCACCAGAAAGACAGAGAGAGACAGAGAGACAGAAAGCAAGAAATCACCCCCAAAGCGGACAGCCATGCCGCAATCCATTCTCCTCTCGGGGTCTTATTCACACACGCACACGCGCCTGGTGTGAGTTTAAATCACCAAGTCTGGGACTTGAACTGCGGTCGACTACATGGGAGGTCCAGTAACATAGCCATTACACCAACTGCTGGTCCTGAATATAAAATCTTACATATATACTTTTTCGAAATAGTAGCATTTTGTTACTTTAAGGGATAATCATTTAAAATAAAATTTTCAGGATATTAAGCCAAGACTGATCTAAGTTATATATATTATTACAAAAATACATAATGTGTATTCTATGAAATTTCCATTCCTCTACATGTGTGTGCATACGCCTTCAGCCTAGAGATTTTAAAATTATTTCTTGTCTTGCTTAGAACTTGATACTACTTGATACTACTTGGCAATCTATTGTATATAGCCTGTGGTTTATATGCTGCTTTTAAATTACATGTGTGTATAGATTTATATCCTTAAGTCTGGAAGTGTGTATGTACAACTCTTAACCTTAGTTATTTTGAGGGCTGATAAGATTAAGGAGAGGGTTATTTTTACTTTATAGTCGTCGTTAAAAACAAGTAACAGTAAGCTTTTATTTGAGAGAGGGGAGAATAGTACCTAAATGGGACTTCTGATTTCTTATGAAAAGAAACAGGTGCCCAAAGATTAAAGTCACTTTCAACTCTGGTTCTGTGAGTTAACTGTAAAACTTAACAAAACTAACAAAAAGTTTGGAAATCTTCCAGAATGGAACATACCAGAAAAAAAAAAAATAGTAAGTACTTCTTCACTGCTTAAAAACTTAAACAAGGGGTCAGCAGGTGGCATGGTGCTTAAGGCATTAGATCCCACACGGCTGACTCCAGGTTCAAGTCCTGGACTTGGTCACTTGAAAAACACACTGGGCACATGTTCCTGCATACCCAAAATTCTGAGAGGAGAGTACCAGAGAAAGTGTTTCTGCATGGCCATACCCCCTTAGGGGCTATTTCTCACACTCCATCTCTCTCTGTTTCTTTCTAGCAAGTACAGGTGTCCTATGGCAAAAATCTAAAAAAACAAACAAGAACTTAAAACAAGAGCTCTGAAAAGCTGTTTCTCTCTAATTGATTCGATTTTTTGTCTCTAGAGAGGATGGAAATGGTTAATATTATCTAACCAACAAAGGGTGAGCAGTTATCTGCAAATTAGATAAGAAAGAATCAGTTACTTACCTCAGTAAAAAGTTTTTGCCCTAAAATTAACTTGTTTCTTCCAAACAATTGCGAGTCTTCTAACTTCCTGAAATTCTATAATTCTGCCTCTAGCAGTAACTTACCAACACACTTATAAATATTAATAGAAGCAGATTATGTTCTAAATTTTGATTTAAGTTTTGTAAAGTTATGTTTCTAAGTCAGTTTGCTTACAAAAGTAAGTAATGCATGTTATTACTATAAATTGAAGCATAGGATAAACTTAACAAAATTTATCTTTAACAAGAAAAATATTTCTTTTCTTTCTTTTTTTTTGGAGAGGTTTTCGCTATAGGGCGCATGCACTCGCCAGACAGACAGAGACAGACAGACAGAAAGCGAGAAATCACCCCCCAGGGGGGATGGTCATGCCACAATCCCTTCTCCTCCATTCTCCTCTTGGGATCTTGGGCACGCATGCACACGCGCCCGGCGTGAGTTTTAAGCCACTGGGTCCGGGACGCGAACCGCAGTCAACTACGTGGGAGCTCAGCAACATAGCCATTACGCTAACTGCTGGTCCCTCAAAAACATATTTTTAAAACATACTAGATGTATAATTCTTTTGGAATAAAATGGTAAATGAATTACCAAGCAAAGAACCATTGGGTAGGAAATACCACAAGTAATAATTAAAGATCAAGATAAATTCATGGAATTTGTAGTCAAAGCTTATTATGTCTGCTGTGCAATATGATTTGAAAGGTACCGTTTCGGTATTATATAGGTACATGCTTTGCCCCCTAGTTCAAGTTCTTTTGTCTAGTCTTAACATTCAAAACCACTACTCTAAACCATTTTGGTCCACAGTTCTCGCCTTTCTGAACTTCTAATGACTACTCTTACAAGAGATAGCCTCTTTAGTTTTGAGTGTTTTCATCTTTAAAATGAGAAAATTGAAGTAGAGTGCTGTCTTTCGGTCTCTTCAGCCCAAAATGAAGTTATATACTAGTTGGTTGCACATTTCCATCTCTCAGCATGTGACCCACTTACCTTTGTAAGTGTAGGTATATAAATCTTATATGAATCCTGTGCTGCATTGTGGACTCCTGCACCATCTACTTAGGCTCTCATTTTGAAAAGAGTTTATTCTTGCTTTTAAAGTTCTTTTCTATTTATTTCAACCTTGGAAATACTCAGTTCACGAATGAGGATGGTTCCTCTTCACTCCTCCTCCTACTTGGTACCTTGTTTGCTATAATGAACCACATTCCTCAAAAAGATCTGTCAGTACGAATGACACAAATGACTTTGCCCATTTTTGTGCATTATCGTTTGCAAGTACATTGTAGTTCCTAACAGTTAACTTTGGAATAGCATAGAATGCATTCTTCAGAAATTATAGAACTGTAGTTTGAAATTTGTGTTCATAATTGTCTAATATTAACAATAGAATAACATACTTAAAAGAAATGGGTATTTAACTTAAATTGAAATGAAATAATAGCAGTTTCTTCCTTTCTGTAAAATGTAATGTATTTAAATTGCAGTTAATCTGTTCTTTTTACTTAAAGCTTACGATTTGTTCCGTTATATAAAGTAGCTATTAAAAATTTTTTTGGAGAGGTTTTTTGCTACAGGGCATGTGTGTTCGTCAAAAAGACAGAGACAGACAGACAGAAAGCAAGAAATCACCCCCTGGGGGTATGGCCATGCCACAATCCCTTCTCCTCCATTCTCCTCAGGATCTTGGGCACGCATGCACACTTGCCCCGCGTGAGTTTAAGCCACCAGGTCCGGGATTCGAACCGCGGTCAACTAAATGGGAGTTCATTACGCTAACTGCTGGTCCCTAAAATAGTTTATTGCTATAAATATATGATATCTGTTCATGCATCATGAACACATGTACAATTATGTTTTAAACCAGATATGACCACATTCTGAAGTGGGAACTCTTCCAGCTGGCTGACCTGGATACATACCAGGGAATGTTAAAGTTGCTCTTTATGAAAGAATTGGAACAGATTGTTAAAATGTATGAAGCCTACAGACAGGCTCTTCTTACAGAGTTGGAAAACCGCAAGCAGAGACAGCAATGGTATGCCCAGCAACATGGCAAGAATTTTTAAGTTAATTTTTTTTTAAAATAAAATTTAAGTTTTGTAAAAGCTTTAAATATTTTCACAGATGAAAAACTGCAAATAAATACTTTGGTTAATAAAGGCAGCTTACTCTTTAGGAATTATAAAATTCTAATTTTACATATACTTTATTGTTAGAAATTTTATTTTATCGAACAACAAAAAAATGAGTGTATCATTTTAAAAGCCAATATGGCAGACACTTTCAAATGTATATTAGGAAACTGCTTTGGATATTGTTAAATAAAGATGCAGCAAAAAGTTTCATTATAACCAGATATTAAGTGAGAAATGGTCACGTGGTAACGTCATACAACAGTAGTACTTTTCTTTAAAAAAGAAAAAGCAAGAGAGGATCTATGCAGTATTTTTTAAAATATGTTTACTGCTTTAGTGTGAAATATTGTCTAGAGTAGAATGGTTTACGTATTACCATGTATAGTTCCAAATATAAAATAGGATTTGGAACCTTTACTGTAATAAATAACTATATATGATGTGTATGGTTGGTGTTTCCACCACCCCACCCCCCAAATGTAAGGAACCCTTTTTAAAGCATGTTGAGAAGGTAGTTTTGGTGTGAAAGGGGGAAGGGCCTTTACATCTTTCAGGAATGAATTTAAGCATAAGGCCTTCGCCCGTGTGGGGACGTGTGCAGCACTCTCCATTGCTTGCATTACTCCATCACTTCGTGCCGGGCTCTCCCTGTGTTGGCACAGCTCCGACGAGACAGGGAGGGCTCGCAGGAGCATCGCACACTCACTGCCTTCTGACAGACTGGGTTATGCAGCCAGACATGACAATCAGGGACTCTGTAAGGAAATGTAGTCATGAAATCAATTTTATATTTCTTTTTTTAATCTTCTAAATGTTTGTCACAGAACTTTAAAACTGCGTTATTTCCTTTCCAGTATTTTTCCTCTTTTGGTTTCATAGTTGTTAAGATATTGTTTGTAATTATCATAGCACATTTGATTGCAGGCACATTTATGATACTTCTGACCTGTAATTTCTAGAATTCTGTGAATTTCAACATTAATTGAAATAGCTCTTTCTTTATATTCCATGTGTTGTAAATATGTAAATACTTTTTAGTTTACACAGTCTTTTAAAATACAAAGCACTCCCAATTAGCAGTGAATTTGGAATATTGATAAGAATTTGAATATTGATAAAATGTTGAAAATGTTAAGTGTTTGATTTTATATAACAAGCTCATTAAATATATTTTTGTGGAAACTAAATGTGTGGTGTTAGTATCTGTGTTTTAGATTTAGTGCTATAAATATTTTTCTGTTCAAAAGGCCCATAGACAAAGGATACAGTATAATCACAGTAGAATTTTAACACTGGAAAAACGTAACTTGCTGAATTGGTGATTAGACTTTTCTCAGATAAAAGTTTATGTATCTTATGAACCCACACACTTTTCCATCGTAGTTGGTTTTTCCTATTACTCCTTACTTTATGTTGCCATTCAATTTCATTAAGGCATAGCCATTTCTCAAAATGTACTGTTTGGGCTTCCCAGATAAGACATACATTTTTTATTACCACACTTCTTTTTTTTTTTTCCCCCTTTAAGAGGTCTGCTCTGAAAAACTACACTAGAGATTTTAGTCATTAGAGATACAGTATAAAATCACTGGTTTAAAAGAAGGGGTATACAGAGGCAGAGCATTGACAGGACAGGGCGGTGTGGTGCTATCTGTTGAAGATATTTTGATCAACTGGACTGGGGAGAAATGTTCACATATTGAAATGTTCACTTTGTAAGCTAAACAATGTGATTTAATGTATATTAAAAAAATAATAAATTTTAAAAAAGAAGTGGAAGGTACATAAAGGTATCAGCATAACAGGGTGTGCTTTTAATACAGAAACTTACATGTGCAATGTCAGCATTAAAGAACTGCATTTTTAATTTTTGAAGAGAGAGAGAAACCTGCCAAACATTTTCAAATTCAGTAAGCATTTGTTTTTAATCTTAGGAACCAGAGTAAACTTTAATTAATAATAGTTGACTTGTTAAAAGAATAAACCTATGAAGGATACATTTCTTTGTGTACCAAATGAAAAAATATACAATGCAGTGAAACTCAAATACATATAGAGAGATCTTTTGTGCATTTTTGATCAAGAGGTTTATATTCTATATTATTAAATCATAGTATAAAAGAAGCAATATATATTTTTTGGTAAAGCAACTGAAAAGCTCTTACATGTGTTTAAAATAAGTGATGGTATTTGTAATATGATACATATTAAATCGAGCCTGCTGAGTCATGATGCTGTGCTTTAATAATTTGCTATGCAAAGTAATTTAAATTTTTTTCTGTAGAAATTAAATGAGCGTATCCAAACATGGAATGATATCACTAAATGGTTTAATCATAACCCAATAGTAGAATTTGGCAAATTCAAGCAGAACACATGTACTGTCATCATAAATAGACACACACTTTGTAACAGCATATTTGAAAATGAAATCAAGGAACTGTACATGTTAACAAAAGATATAACCATGCATACATACATCTGCTTATTAAACACTGAAGTAAAAGAACACAGCCATTTTGCAGTATTCAGAGGTGTTTGGTATTTTACTGTTTTGATGGAAGCTCTTTGAATGTTTGCATGAGGACATAAAACTGAATATTTAACTGACAATTTGTCATGCACCTGTATTTTAAAAATTGGGTTAAATTTTCTTCTTTTCTGATTGTTCAGTAGATTCTGACTTTGGTACAGGAAACGCTTGATGATACAGATGTCTGTGGGTTGCTGCTGCACTGTAGAGCTTATATAAAGCCTAGAATATAAGAATCAAGATTATAAAACATTTTATTAAATACAGAGATGTAAAATTGTTCCTTTTTAGTTGATAGACTAAAAAATTTAGCATGCTGAATTTGGAATCTTTGTAGCATTACTCTATATCAAATATACATTAATACCTAGTATCTTAAAACTCACAATTGTTTCCAGCTCTCCTGTATGTGTGTGTGTTAACACTTTTGTGGATGGATCTTTGTGGAGCTTTAGTCTCAGATCGTTTCCTTTTACCTTGCATACCTCTTGAAGCAGTTTTCCAAACTTTAGGCTGCAGGGTTTTGTTGAGAACTCATATTGCAAATTATTATCAGTTTCAGATAAATTATGTGACTGCCAGTAACTATTATATGTTGCTAGTTCTCTTGCACTCTGGGCTTCCACTATATTTTCTGGAATGGGCCCAATTTTCTTCTCCATCATTTTCTGATATGGTCATGCAGCTAAGCATATATGATATCCCTCTCCCACCACATTGGGAACCCTCATTTTACACACCCTTGGCTTGTTTTTGTTACTTCCATTCATATCTTACATAAAACCTCATTCAGGGAACCAGTGGGTGACATGATGGTTAAGGCATTAGACTCCCACATGGCCAACCAAGGTTCAAATCCCAGACTTGGCAGCTTGCTTTCTCATTTTCCCTCTCTGTCTCTGTCTTTCTCTGGTCAGCACACGTGCCCTATTGCAAATTAAATAATAGTAATAATAATTCTTTAAAAAAGGAAAAATCTTATTCAGAAATACTTTCTCAGAAAATCTTTTCCCTCTGATTGTTCTTTGTGTCCGTTTGACTGTTTGAATCAGGACTTTTTGCATAGTGTATACTGCTTCATATGTATCCATAAATATCTTTGTTTTCCCCCCTCAGCTAGTGTATAAGATTCATCCCCTCTGAATCACAGACTGGTTTTGACTGACTTTTATGACTTAGTTCTGGAGTCTAGAGTCTGCATATTTTTAAATTTAGGTAAGAGCTTGCTATCCTTCAAACAATAATGATTTCCTAGGAAATTGCATTAAACTTCTATCATTTCTGAGTCTGTGTATCTTTTCCTTTTGATCTTAGGGCATTAAATCTGAATGGTACCACCTTTAGTTCTATGAATACATATTGGTGCAACATTGTATCTTAGTTACATACTTGTTCCGATATATTTACTTTTTTATGTTTTAATGAGAGGGAAAGAGAAAGGTTTTTTTTTT